CTTTGGCACCTGCAGAGAACCCTGGGCATGGTGGTTTTTTTTTTTTTTTTTGCTCTTTAGACAGTGAATTCTTCTTATTCAGCTTCATTTTGCTTACAGTTTAAATGAGGCAAATTGCCCAGAGAAGCTGTGGCTGCCCCTGGATCCCTGGAAGTGTCCAAGGCCAGGTTGGAGCAACCTGGGCTAGTGGAAGGTGTCCCTGCCTGTGGCAGGGGGTGGGATGAAATGTTTTTGAGGTCCCTTCCAACCCAGACCATTCCAAGATTCTGTGAAATTATCAGTGCTGTAGCTTGTTGGTGCCTTGTGGCGCTTGGCTTGTCCCTCCCAGGACCCGCTGAGCTGTGCCTTCAACCCCAGTCCTGTAAGTCTATTCTGGAGCCTCAGGCAGCAAGGTGAGGCCCCACCTGGCTAAGAAAACTCTTCCCAAATGTCAGAGATGTGCAGGAAACCCTCCTTGCTCAGAGGCTCTTCCTCCCTGCCCTGCACAGGAGCCTTCTCAGCAGCCAGCTCAGCACTCTGCTCTGGGCGATGGCAACAAAGGGATTGCTGACTTGGAGCAGGGACTGCTGACTTAGAGCTCTCCAAGGGACATGACAACCCTGGTTAGCTTTAGATTCAACTTGATCCATGATTTAATTAGCCAGAGTATCCTGCTTAGAGCAGTGGTGCTGCTGCCTCTCCCCTGCTTCGTGGATCTCTCAGCTCCTGCAAGAGGAGGATTTGGAGTGTTTGTTCCAAGTGAACCACCCAATCCTCCCTTTCCTCCTGTGCTGAGAGCAGCCTTGAGGAATCAGCCAGTGCTGCATGTCTAGACATTTAAAAATAGCTGTCTCTTTGGGCATATTTGAGCCCAGGAACTGCTTTCATTATTAATTCCTTGCTAATCTCTCCCTGGTGCTGCTCGAGCCCGTGTTAAGCTCCACAGGACTCCAGGAACATTACAGGACTCCAGGAACTCCACTGCAGGAACATTGTATGGCTCAGAGGAACATGAACTGCACTGACTGTGCATCTTCAAATTCACTGCTCATAAACAGTCCACTGGGATTGGTTTTTAAACTTCTGGCCATCCTCAGAGAGAGGGTACAAACCCCCCTGGGCTCTTGGGCACAACCTCAAAAATAACTGATATTGTACTCCAGCAGGACTGAAAGGCACTGGGGTAATTAAAATGTAATTAAGAGGTATCTACAGGCTGAAATTCCTCCCCCTCTCAGGTACACAGTGGTCCTGCAGCAAACCAAAAGAAATAGCAGAGGGCAGTGGCCACTGATTTTCTTTTCTGTGTCAGAAATATGTCTTTTATGCACATGGTAAGAAAGCGCTGGAGAGAATGAAGTGCCCTGCAAGGAGAGCTGGGGGGGAATTGCTTTTCTCCTTGACCCTTACGAACAGGGATCTTCTTAAAAGATCCAAATCCAGGGAAATAGAAGAACCCAGTGTGAGCAGAACTGGTAAAAACAAGAGAAAGGCTGAGTGTTCTCTGTCATTATTTTCCCTGTGCAGCCCTGGGCTCGGGATCCTGCAGGGGACACCCAGGGACAGCCTGAGGGGCTCCCCACTCCCAGTGTTACCTTACAATGAAATATTAAAAAGGTGACGGTTCTACTGCAGCTGCTAAAGAGTTCTTCTCCCCTAAATAAAGAATTAAGCTTCTTTATTTAGGAAAACACAATTATACTCCAAAAGTAACCATTTCATTTCAGTCTTTCCAAAGCAAAATACATGTGAGCAAGCCACATTCTTTTACTTCCTCATTTAACTATGTTTTAATTAATAACGTCCTCCACAAGTGATGATGGGATTGATAGACTGGAGTGTGAGGTGGGAGGTGAATAGCAAAGAGGGTGAAAATGCTGTAGATCAATAGAGGAGCAAACCAAACAGCAATAAACTCTGAACTGGACCAAGGGGTGCAGTGCTAGGAATATCCTGATTGGAAGGAAACTCCTTGCTGGCAGAGGAGAAACATCTCTCTGCCATGCTGAGAAGAGAGAATAAATTAAAAAATAAATAAATAAAATGGCTTTATCATTTAAAATCTCGCTCTGTGTGCAGGGAGAGCCCTGCACAAACACGTGGAGGAGGAGCAGCCTGTGGTTGGTATCGGTTGCCCTTCACACCCGCAGCACCTGCGCTTGTTGCTGCCGTTTCCTGTGCTCTTCTCACAGCGTTTTTCGAAGTCAAGATTAGAGATGAGATATGAAATTGAGCTGCTGATAATGTGGTTGTGTTTCTCTCGAGGGGCTCAGCTGGTGGTGGCTGTAGGTTTGAGAGCAGGCAGGGTGGCCAGACAGGCAGGAAGGGAGGCAGGTAAAGCCAGCACATGGACAGAGTGGCTGAAGAGTTCCCTGAGGCAGGTGTGGGAATGGTTTTAGGGGCATCATCACTGGAAATAAATAAATTCCTTAAGGAGTTTTGTGCCTTTGAGCTTGGACGGGCTCATGTGATAGATACCCAGTGACCCTCAGGGATGGGGTTTGGTGACACTGCTCACCCTGTAAACCCACAGGTACCATTTTGTTTTGCACCCCCAGAATCACCCCAGAATCATGGAATGAGCTGGGTTGGCAGGGACCTTCAAGCTCATCCAGCTCCAACCCCAACACCTTCCACCAGCCCAGGTTGCTCCAACCTGGCCTTGGACTCCCCCAGGGATCCAGGGGCAGCCACAGCTTCCCTGGGCACCCTGTGCCAGGGCCTGCCCACCCTCTCCCAAAGCTCTGGCACGTCCAGAGGTGCTGGCCACGTCTCACTGTGCCGTGTGTTGTGCCCAGGACATGTTTGACGTGATCCTGGACGAGAACCAGCTGGAGGACGCGTGCGAGCACCTGGCCGAGTACCTGGAGGCGTATTGGCGAGCCACCCACACCACCAGTACCACCCCCCTGACCCCCCTGCTGGGCAGGAACCTGGGATCCACCGCCCTGTCCCCGTATCCCGCCGCCATCTCGGGACTGCAGGTAGGAGAGCCCAGCCCAGCCCAGCCCCCCCCGGCCCTGCACACCAGGTGGGTTTGTTCAGTCCCCGGGGCAGCAGCGTGTGAGGTGGTTTGTGCAGCGTGACTCGTGTGTGCTCTCCCTGGTTGGCCACTGCCAGCAGTGACGGGCAAGCTGAGGGGTGTAAGCAGGGAGGAGCCACCCACTCAGCCCGGGGCTGAAGCACTGGGACTGCTCTGCCTTTAGTGGCACTAAAAATGCCCATCAGTTCCCTCCATCCAGCTCCGTGACCATCCCTTTTATTCTTCCCCTCGAGACCTCACAAAAAAAAACCCTCTGTGCTTGTCTCTTGTACCAGCAGAATGCCTTCCCCTTTTTTGGGTTGAGTGTGAAT